GTGCAGCACCTCCCCTGCCCTAGCCGGCAGAGGGGGCTCAGCAGACCCTCCACCACGTCGCCCCCCTCCAGCAGGACCTGGGGGCGTCTCTTGGGCCCGACAACGGGTCCCAGGGTCCTTGCGCCCTGTTCCCGTCCCTTGGACGGGTGTTTACGTGTCCGAGGGGGTGGGGTGCAACCCCTGTCCTCACCCGGCCCTCGTCGCAGCACCTCCCCTGCCCTAGCCGGCAGAGGGGGCTCAGCAGACCCTCCACCACGTCGCCCCCCTCCAGCAGGACCTGGGGGCGTCTCTTGGGCCCGACAACGGGTCCCAGGGTCCTTGCGCCCTGTTCCCGTCCCTTGGACGGGTGTTTACGTGTCCGAGGGGGTGGGGTGCAACCCCTGTCCTCACCCGGCCCTCGTCGCGATGGGTTTCAGTTGCTCGTGAGTGCTTTCGGGTTGTGGGGAGTGGGGGTCCCGGGCCTGCCCTCTCCTCTGGGTCCCAGCCCAAGGCCCTAAGTGGAGTTCGGTATCTGCAAGCTGCTCTCCACGGCAGACGGGGCCGCCGCCCTAAACTCGTCTGCCCACGGGCGCCGGAAAGGCCCCGCTCAGGGCTCCTTCCACTCCCCACCTGCAGGCTCCCTCGGCGGGACGCTCGCTGGGTCACTCACCCCGCCGGGGCTGCTGGGTCCGTTCAACCGTGATCCGAAGGCTGCCAGGGCCGTCCTTCTTCTTCGCCCGGAGGGCAAGAGGCTTAGCACCCCTGGAAGCCAGGGTGGCCGCTTCCTCACTCCCCCCTCCCTCGGCGTCCAGCTGCCACTTTTAAAGTGCCCGGGGAGTGACGTCAAGGAGGTTAGCCCCGACCCCCCTGCGTCTTTCCCCCTGGGCTCTTCCCGGCGCGTGTCTGGGGCTCTGCCCCCCTGGGCGGGTCGTTGCGCCCCGGCGGGACGCTTCCCCACGGCTCGGGTCCATCCCCTTCTCCCGCAGCGTGGGCTTGTCCGTGCTTCCCCGCATCCTTGCTCTGGCCGGTCGGAGCTTGCCCCGCCGCTTCTGGCCGCCGTGTCCGTTTCTGTCCGTGCTTCCCCGCGCCCTTGCTCTGGCCGGTCGGAGCTGGCCCCGCCGCTTCTGGCCGCAGTGTCCGTTTCCTGGCCCGGGGGGGTAACCTTCCACCCGGGGCTAGTGCGGACCTCGCCAGGTCCGTCACAGGACCTTTATAAACTCAAGCCCCAGAGCAGTTTGGGTTCTGTTCCATCTCCGCTCGCTTGGTTTGGTTCGTTCATCTGCCTGACCACTACAGCAACCTGCCATTCCTGAGACTGTGGTGAAGGCCCGGGATCTACTGTGGGATGGATCACCATCTCCAGCTGCTCACAGGGTGCTTCAGCCCACCACTGTGGCGATTGCCCAGTACAGTGGACCCCAGCTACCTGCGTCCACAGAATAATACCTTTGGACTCCTCAGTGTTCCTCCCTTGAGGCTGTCAAGCAGCCAACGGGTAGCAGGTCCTGAGCCTCGGCTGTCGCATCCTAGACAGACCGAGTATCTAACTGTACTAGCCCCTATTATTTCAGAGGGTGAGGGGTTGGTTTTCTTTTACAGTGTTGTGTTCTGGGTTTATGCTTATGCTGTTATCTGTTGTATACAATAGATCTCTTTTAAATTGGATATTGGAGTCTGTGTTTATTTTGGACTGGAGAAATCCGCTGGTGACAGATATGGTGGTTTCCAGGTCGGACCACCTTCTGGGACAAAGGCATTTACCATCTAGTTGGCCCCACACCAAATTACTAATGTGCCTTTGCTAGTAACAATGTGGTACAGCAACATAAGCCTGCAGTTCCTGCAAGACTCCAGTGACATCTGAGAGGGTGTTTGGGGCTTCTCTGAGGGCTTTCCTGAGGGGCTCCTCATGCCATTAGATGACTTGGGCATTTTCTAGTGGACTTCCATTCCAAATCTCATTTATAAGTACCAACAATGTGCTTAACCTTAAGGTAGACATGAAACGATGAAAATCTGTGCCCCAAAGAGCTTCTAGTATTTTATAAGAAAGAGAAGGCATAACAGAGCGAGGAACACAGAAGAGGGAATAACATAGAGGTAACTGGGTTTCTTTTCATTTATTTTTTAAATGTCGGTTAACTATATATGGACATTGCATCAGGGGCCGTGTGTGTGTGTATGTATAACTATAGAATCCGTGATGTCATTTTCCTACCCACTCTAATTTCCAGTTATTCAGTATTTGGGCCTGGTGCTCTTTTGCAAATTGCATTCTTCAGGCAAGAGTACAGGAGCACTAATGATAAATGTGAAGAGAGAAATCAAAAGAGAAGAGGAAGCAAGGCTAGAGGACATGCTGCAACTTATATCAAGTTCACATGTCTTTAGACTTGTCTTCACTAAATTTAATTGTGTTAAGCATTATTGTGATGAGTTAGCTGACGTGGTCATCTTCAGCATCATGTCAGCTAGTCACCATTAAGCCTTGTCCCGGCTAGGTTTGATATTATCATCTAATTAGATTCCCCTTAATTTTTCTTACAAATACTAAGATTTTCTAGTCATGGCAAGCTCCGTGTGATGTGTTCTTGGAAAATCTTTTGCTCATGTGTCTCAATAAAGAAATAAACTTTATAAAAATCAGCTGAATAAAGAGTTTCTAAATTTTTTGTATTGCACAGCAAAGCTCTCTTTAGCCATTATAATTTTGCTTTGAGATACTACTTCTGATAAATCAACTAAACTTCCTTTACACAATTGCAGTAATAATCTCTTTAGGTTTTTTATTTTCTTATTTTGTGTAAAATATTTTCTCTTTCATTATTCATGTGTGGTTTAAAACCGCATTGCTAATACAACCCAAATGGGATCTCTTTGGAAAAAAACAACAGCAAATGCAGATGTTTCCCTCGTTCCCATAACTTTATTACAAAAATAGTTGGAAGAAATGCAGTAATATATCAAATTCAGTGTACAGAGAATTTGAGGAAATGTAACACACAAACACAAACCCCAGTAATCATGTGATATGACTAAGCCTAATTTTGTTCCTCTTTCCTAAAAACAAAGTATTCAAGTAAGATATTCACCCTGTTGTTGTTAGGAAGCTTTAAAGATATGTAAGCATGCTTCAGCTTGTTTTTTTCACTCTGTTTACTTCTGGATTTATTGAATCACAAGGAAGAAAAGTGTTTTGTGAATCCTCGGAATTAAAAATATCGTATTCCTTTTGTGGTAAGTAAAGGATTATTTTATTTTAAATTTTGTTGACACAAGAATGGATATCCTTGCAGAAAATACTTGTCTTCCTTTCTCTTGTATTTGCTTCCTTGGGGTGTTCATAAAGATAAAGAAATGATTCACTAAAGATTTAAGAATAATTTTGCTCTTTTTTGGTAGATTGGGTGATTATATTTTATATTCGGCAGTTTCTGTTTGATAGCAGTGACACTGTGTGTCGTAGATATTTCCAAAATCCATGTTGTGGAAGGTATGGGAATAGGAAAGAGGTTAACTTCAGAGCTGGACAGGCATGTATATTGACTTTGGGAAAGCTTAGAAGACTAATTTAAATGTTTTCCCCTAATAATGTGATTAAACAACAAATTTACTGACACTCGCATTTTCATAGAATGTGAAATTTAGCTATATGGAAAACAGGAAGATTTCATATGAATTTCTACTGGAAACTGATGAAATGGTAGTTAACACAGTACAAGGTCTAAAAAAAGGAGTCGGGGGAGGGGCTTTCATTTTATTCTCAATTGTTTCTCTTTCCTCCCTACTTCTTTGTTGTAGTACAGAGAATTTAATTTAGGTCATGATCTGGCACTGAGTTACATGTGGGTGGCCCTTCACCCATAAAGCAAACCCCAATGATGCCAGCAGAGCTCTGTGTGGGCAGAAGAGTCATATCACATGGTGCCTGGTATAAGATCAGGGACTTAACTTGTATATTCCATAGGAAGAGGTCATGTCTTGTACAGTTCCATACCTGAGGTATTAGTAAGAATGAGTTATAACCTAAGACATGGCAGGAATATTTGCTGTTACAACTACTTTGAATTTTTCTTTTTGTTAAAATGTTAAAAAGTGCCTGTCCACAAGACAATAAGTTCATAATCTCATAGGGCATGTCTACACATCAAAGTTATTTTGAAATAAGAGCCCTTATTTTGAAATAACTTTCCTAGCGTCTACACAGCCAAACCACTATTTCGAAATAAATTCGAAATAGCGGCACGCTTATTTCAAATTTGGTAAACCTCATTCTACAAGGAATAACACCAAATTCAAAATAGCTATTTTGAACTAAGTGCTGTGTAGACACTTATTTCGAAATAGGGGGCCTCCAGCCTTCCCAGGGTGCCCTGGTGGCCACTCCAGCCTCAACCCAGAACTCTTCTCTCCCTCTCTGCTCTCTGGAGCCCTTAAATGGGTAGACTCTGGCCACAGTGCCTGTGCCAGCTCCAAGCCTGCCAGCAGTCGCTGCCCCTGGCCCAGTGGCCCCAAAACATGAGCCAGCAAGCCACTGGCAGCCAGCCCTCCACCGCTCCCCAGGAGCAGTCTTCCAGCTCCCAGGAGCCTGCCAGGTTCCAGAGAAGGCTGGTGCCTTCCTGGTCCAGGGTGGAGATCATGGACCTTATTCAGGTTTGGGGGGAATGCCCCAACGTCCATATTCTCTGCACTGGATGGAGGAACATGGCCATCTATGGCAGGATAGCTGCCAGCCTGGCCACCAAAGGCCACATGCGAACCCAGGATCAGGTTTGCATGACAATTAAGTTGGTCTGGCGAGTCCCTGAGCCCTGAGCTTCCCCTCTCCCTTCTTCCCCTTGCTTCCCCATTCCAGCTCCCTCCTCCAAGGTTTTCCCCTCCCCTCTCCCACCCTCTCTTCTCCCCTCTCCCACCTCCTTTCCCCAGTCTAACCAGAGTTTCATTTCCTCCCCCTCAGTTTTATTAAATAAAGAGGGTTTGTGTTCACATGAAAATACCCGTATTTTATTTGACATCAGGAAGGGGGGCTAGGAAGGGGTAAGTGGAAGGATGTGAGGGAGGAGTGAGGCACAAGCCCCCAGTTGGGCAGACTCTTAGTGCGCCTCAGGGTGGAAGCTCTCCCACAGGGCCTTCTGGATACTAACAGCCCCCCGATGGACCTTCTGGATGGCAGCCTGCAGAAAGTGCAGCCAGGCTCACAGCAACGCATACAGGAGAAGAACTAGAGTGCCCAGGGGCAGCTCTGGTTCCCTGTTGCAGAGTGCTGTGGTGTCCTGAGTGAGGGCAATCAGAGCACACGGAGACAAAATGCTTTGCTGTCCCTCAGGGTATGTCTACACTACAAAGTTAATTAGAACTAACGGACGTTAGTTCGAATTAACTTTCATAGGCGCTACACTAGCGCTCCGCTAATTCGAACTTAATTCGAACTAGCGGAGGGATTAGTTCGAACTAGGAAAACCTCATTTTACGAGGACTAAGCCTAGTTCGAACTTACTAGTTCGAATTAAGGGGTGTGTAGCCCCTTAATTCAAACTAGTGGGAGGCTAGCCCTCCCCAGCTTTCCCTGGTGACCACTCTGGCCAACACCAGGGAAACTCTATTGCCCCCCTCCTGGCCCCGGACCCCTTAAAGGGGCACAGGCTGGCTACGGTGCCCGTGCCAGGTGCAAGCCTACCAGCATCC